TTTTTCTTCTTATTTCACTTATATATTATTTCTTATATCCTCATGTTTTTAATTATTGAATATTCAAAAATATTTTTAAAATTATTAAATATTATCTAATATTATTTTTTAAAATTATTAAATATTCAAAAATTAGTTAATATTTCTTTTTATAAAACTTAATTTAAAAATCTCAGCATATAAATATATCTTTAAAATCAATTTTACCATGGTAGAATTAAATTATCATATTCAACCTAACAATTTAAAATTTAAGAGATTTGAATTGGCTTATCCAAATAAAATATTATAAGAATGATAGAAATTGAAATTAAAGTAATTTAAATACTAAGAATTTAAAATTCTTTAAATTTGTAAAATTTCTCATCCAAACACAACATCAGTGTGACACCTCTACCCCGCATATACCATAATCTTTCATTTTTAAAAATACCAAACATGTTCAGATAGAGAGCACCACATTCATAACTTAAACAAATAACATAATCAGTGGTAATTACAAAAGAAATAAGGTTAAGGTTTTCAAAATAATTTAACAGAAACTTAATCCTATTTACGCCCCGATGTCACATGTCCTATCAAAGCAAATCCTAACATAGAAGCCTAAGCTTCATCAACATCCTCAGCCTCATGTTGATAATCACCTATATGACAGTCAAAGAAAACAACACAAGAGAAAAGGAAACAACACAAGAGAAAAGGGAGTGAGAAACATTTCACTCTGGCTCACAGTTTAGAAATATACGCTAGATAGCCAAACACAAACAAAACAGGTATAACATAAATAAATTAATAATAACATCACATCTCACTCATCCAAGACATATTAATTTTTCATATAACATTAAAATGCACATGTATGGACACGGACTACATTTTATCATGCATATGGTGCTAGTAACATGTCACATGGCATATTGCCGCTAGCAATGCACGAAGAGTAGTTTAGTAGTACATGCCGGGTCACACCCTCTGCGCACTCTCACTAGAAGGACATACTACCAGAGTCTCGTCGGGATAGCTAAGCCGCGCAAGATACATCCATGTACACAATGGGCGAGACTAGGACTTACAAACCGAGCTATCCCCAAGGACTAATCCCCAAAGCTTTTACACTAGGGGGTCTTCTCTGGCAGTATATTCCATATCGTACCCTTAAAAACATTTATGCACATGATGCATGTCAATCAAGACTCGATGCTTTATGATGTTTCATTCTCATATCACATCACATGGTCCTGTCTCATCATCATATTCACATTATCACAATATATTCACAATTTTCACATAGTACTTTAATTCATATCAAAACTCATCTATTTACAAAATTAAATACATATTCATACATCTCATACAACAAGAAATACAACAAAACAATTAGAAGGTAAAACAGAAAATATTATAAATATGCCTGTTTCTCATAGGTTTCCACAGAAATCCACGGAGCACTCTAATTCATATCAAAACTTGTTTATTTTTAAAATTAGACACATATTTACACTCAACAAACATCAAGAAACACAACAAAAAATTTATAAGGTAAAACAGAAACATTTAAAATTTGTCTATTACAATTACCAATGTCCTTAGGGTTTCCCACAGGAACCCATAAAAATCTCAAATTACACATTTATACTTAAATATAGGAAAAATAATGGAAGAAACATATATAATTAGGGAAAACTCCTCATACATGAGGATACAACAACAACAAACATAGAATTGAGGGTCAATCTCACTACCCAACATACATTCTCACACCCAGAGCAAGATTTCTCATTCTCCCTCCTTACCTCGATAAGCAGGAGCTGAAACTAAAGCTAGATTTTGTTGGTCTCCTCCTCTGAGTTCCCCCTTGGTCTTTAGAGAGTATAGAAGAAAAAGAGGTGAAAAGTAAAAAATATACTTTTGGAGTGACAGAGCGTTCTATTTATAGGCATCAGTAGTCGCTAGAACGGCCCATTTCAAATTCGGAACGGCCCGTTCTGGACTCATACTTCATGTCCAAAATTCACATTTGGAACGTCCCGTTCCATAATCAGAACGGCTCGTTCTCACAACGGCCACATTTGGAACGGCCCGTTCCCAAATCGGAACGTCCGGTTCTGTGTTCGAAGTTTACTCAAAGAATCATGTGTTGGAACGGCCCGTTCCAACCTAGTCTTTCTAGGCCATTTTAGTAGTCTGGAACGACTCATTCCAATTTGAGAACGGTCCGTTCTGGGTTACTAAAAATCAAAATATTACAAAATAATTTTCATAAATATTTATTTTTAAAATAGTCATAATTATTAAAAACCTTTAAAACATTCTATAAAACCTATTAAAATAACTATAAGAAAATAATCTCCATAAATATAAAATAAATAATAAATAACCATTATACTAGTAAAAAATTCGGGAAGCTACAATCAAGGTTAAATCCAAATATTCAATCATGATTATGTAATCAGCCTGATAAATATTACTTCTTCGAATGAATATTCATAATTTGATGAAAGGGAATAAAATCTTATAGTATGTTTGGATAAAAAAATTTAAAAATTTAAGAAATTTGAAATTTTTAGAATTTGAATTATTTTGATTTTAATTTTTATTATACTTTAAATGTTTTGTTTAAATAAGTCAACTCAAATTCTTAAATTTTAAAATTTTAGTTTAGATATGGTAATTTGATTTTCACCATAGGTGAAACTAATATATAAAATTTTTAAAAATAAATATTAGTCACTTTTAAGTATTTAAAAGTTTTAAAAAGTAATATTATATAATATTAATAATTTAAAAATATTTTGAATGTTCAATAATTAAAAGAGATAAAAGATATATAACTAAGATAAGAAGAAAAAAAATTTCAAATTCTTACTTTTTGAAAAGAATTTGAAATTTTATTATTCTAAAGAATTTTACAAATATTTTAATTTTAAACTCTTTGTAAATTCTTCATCCAAATAAAGCATTTCTTTTAAAGAAATTTGATATTTTTTAAAAAAAATGAGTTACTTCATTTAAATTTTACATCTAGGCACACTCTTTGACTAATCATTCTCCTTTTAATTGGTTAATTTCTTGAGTAAAATTATCTCAAAAACATTCTTATTGTGCTACATCTTGCATTGATCCAATTTTATACATGTAGCAATATATTCTGATATGTTATTTACGTGAGTGAGTATATGCATTAGGCTTATTAGTTGTGGATTTAAATTCTTTAAAGTTGACACAAGCTGGAGAACAAAACATGTCAATGCACTTCTAATTCATATTTTTGTTTAAACAAATACTTAATTATTTAGATAACAACCTAATCATTAATAAGTAAAACTTAATTCATATGATTGAGGCAGTGAGTTAAGTCTCTGTTATCTCATTCTTTAGAGAACTCTTGAGCTAAATCATGTGTGATATGTTGTTTACTTCATGTGAATATATGTATTACACTTATTAATCATCTTAAATTTAAATTTTTTAAACTTGATATAGGCTGAAGGGCTTCTAGTGGAGTAAAATATGTCATTCTACTATGAATTAATTGCAAAGTTTACGAGTTGTCGGATATGTTCAAAAATTTTGTAAATAGATGTATGATTTTCATGATCATACCTCTACTTTCAAAAGTCTCGAACATGATCCGATACATAATTAGAAAACTTTGCAACGAGTTCATAACATGATATATTTTGCTCCACTAGAAGCCCTTCAACCTATGTCAAGTGTAAAGAATTTAAATTCAAGATATTTAATAAACCTTAATGCATATACTCACACATGGTGTAAACAACATATGATTTAGTGTAAGAATTCTCTATAAAATTGGAAAATAAAAGACTTAACTCACTATCTCTGATTGAGTTAAATGAGCTGAATTTTATTTCTCATTAATTAGTTTGTTATCTAAATAATCAAGTATTTGTTTGAACAAAAATATTAGAATTGGATATTTACACATGCATTCCCTTCAACCTGCATCAAGTTTAAAGAATTTAAATACAAGATAACTAATAATCTTAATGCATAACATTTCACAATATACTCCTATAAAGTGTTACATGTAGTGCACTATGAGATAATTTCACTCAAGAAACCAATTGAAAGAAGAGTGAATAGCCTAAGATGGTAAGATGCATTTTTGGTTCTTTGATCAAATTATAATTACTCTCAAAGAAGAAACATTTAGTAGGCCGAACCTTGACTTTTAGGTTTCTTTTTGTTAGACCCCCATGTTTCTTGAATCAGCTAACTAATTAAGCACTTCTTTGACAAAATATTCTTGTAACTAAACCTAGGAAATTTCAATAGCATTTGAGACTACATCTATTTCCATGTGAGCATAACTGAGAAGGGAAAACTATCCTTCCTTACGATTTGTAATCGAAATCATTCTAAAGAAGGTTTTTCGATATCTTTATTAACTTAAAGAGCGATTTGCTACTTTATTATTAATCCGAAACACCTCATCCCAAGAGAATGTTTATCTAGATCATCTAATCCTGCAAAATGACTTTTCCATAACACTCATTCCGGATCATTAAAAATGGTTTAGAAGCTGATACGATCATTAAAAATAGGGGAAAAACAGTATTTTCCCAAACCAAAGTGACCCTTACACGTCACCAAACTTCGTTCTATTGTTTTTTCCCAGCTTAGACACATCAAAAGGATTATAGTTTATGCAGAGATATGATCATTTGGAAGGGTTAACTATACCTTGTACAGATTAATCCTTGTAAGCCCTACTATGAACCAACAAATTACTATAAAAGAGATTTAGCAGCTATCTAAAGAAAAGCATTTCCTGCAAGATGCATATATCCAAAGAAATTTTTTTGAAGACCATTGTTATTTAACCCATTGAGGTAGCTGTAAAATACAATGGAAGAACTAACTCTATATTAACGGTATAGGCTAAACCTATGAAAGGCAACGGCCACTAAAACTCTTCCTGAAACTATTACCAATAATAATTCCATTATGTACCATCCTTTGTCTCATTGAAAAATCTACATATGGCTTGGTCTCCTCTTACCAGAATCTGTCCTTAAACGCTTTACTGGCTTTGCCCAACCAACTGACCCACCAGACCCATTTGAGTGCTGAGATGGCTGGCTACCCCATCCCTGTTGAGCCAATCTAGCATCCTTCGGGGTTGAGCCTGACCCTGGACTTCTCATAGCACTTGATGGAGAGACAGGACCTGCTGATCCACCAGTCCTAGCCTTCCCCAATGATTTTTCCCTTTCATTTCTCTTTTTCTTGCACACAACCAATGCACCTGGATGAGCAAGGCTATCCTGCTGAGGTTGCTCACGCGCACCACCACCACAACCGCTGCCACTTCCGGTTCTTGAGTCCTTATGTGGCAGATGGCCTTTGGACCTGACATTTTCACCGTTTTGTGGTGGCTTTGGTGAAGGGCTAGGATCAGTTTCCACATCATTGTTGGTCAATCTGTGCCTTTTACTTGGGCCAACTGTCACTTGCCTTGGAGATGCTACGGTGTTGGCAGGAATTTGGCTAGAGAAAGAAAGTGCACTTCTTGCTTCTACGAAGTCTGTATCTGGAAATGCAATTTTCAAGATATCAAAAAAGAGATCATGAACCTTCCTTGCTTCAGTTCTTACCTGCAGAAAATGAACATTCAGAACTATTAAAATTTACAAATTTAGAGATCATGAACAATCATAATCTAAATCGATTCATCAACATTCAACAGCCATCTCAATCCTGGCAGCAGAGATAGACAGACACGTCCGATTCCATCTTTGGCAGTAATTGATGTATTGGCTGAATACATGAGCAAGTATTTTATTTTTGGGAGAGTGCAAAATAAAACAATAGCAATTATTATTTCTTTTTTGATGTGCAAGTTGGATTTATTGATAATTGGAAATAGAGCAACGTGTTTGCATTTCAAATCATCAAGCTTAAAATAATATTACACGTGTAAAATTCAGTGCAAATCAATAATAGTACAGTATGTAGATAGAGATCTCTTTGATAAAATGTTGAAATTTCTTTCTCAAAACAACTAATTCCAATTCAATTGTTGAATTAGTTAAGACATACAAATCCTTCGTAAAGTCATAAAACATCATCCATAAGACAATATAGTTTAGACAATTATTGGTGTGGCCAAATTATATTTAAGCATACTACAAGTTCAGATCCGGATAACTATTTAAACATATGAGCTTGAACACCTATATTCAGAATGCATAATTAGTCTTTATTGATTGAATTATAACTTGTCCAAAACCAAATTAAATACACTCCAATTAAGTATCTTGAAGTACATACTCCAAATTAAATAAATTGATAATTATTCATATTTTTAGAATAACTATGCATGTACACAAGTAAATGCTCTTTTCCAAGAACAACTTACAATTTTTGTTTAATCCCATTAATTGTATTATATCAATAATAGATATACTTATATTTTACAAAATGTATGCAACCATAAGCAACTTCATAACAACGCAAAAACAAGCATACATGATTGGATCATAACATCAAAAGTTATGTTATTCCTTCTTCAAACATGTTAATTTAAAAAATAAAAATAATAATAAAAAAAAGGGGGTTTACTGGCACTTTGCAGGGAAGTGGAAATGCAACTAGAAGCATCATATTTCTGACAAATTTAAAAATAAAATTACGCAGGCCAAAACATTAGACACCAATGAGGGTGCAAGATGGAATGTTAAGGGTAGGAATAATTAATGAATCTTTGGATATCATATTATCATTTAAAATAATGTTTGAAATTTATTCATAGAACATGCCTCAACGAACAAAAGGTTGGTATCCAAAAACATAAGGAAAGAATATATACAATCGACTGCCCCTGGCTTGCCTTAATTGCGGCTTTTAGGGCTGCCTTAATTGCATCGTTGAAGGAGGGGGAGGTGGGTGTTTGGTCTTAAACTAACTAGGGATATGGTTTAAGTAGTATAGCCTGGGTAATCCCCACCTCACAAGTAAATTTTGCTAGGTTAAATCCTAAGTCCAAATTCTAATATTTAATGCTTCACTAGGTTCATTAAGAAAACACACAGAAAATTTTTTATTTATGACACAATAAAAGTAAAACAAGGCTTCAAAAAATGACTTGGTTTCTTCTAATTGTGTATGAATTTTCATTAAAAAGATCACAACATACATTAAAAAATATACATTTTCAGGTCCTTTGAACAGAAAACCAAACATCCTATATACCTAAAAATATGACAAGTTGACTTTGGCACCAATAAATTTTCCAAATATAATAAGCATGTATATGTTTCCATCATTTCATACAATAACACGGATAAGAAATCTAACCTCATATGAGTATCCATAGAAATTTATTGCACCCCTCAACATGAACTGCACATCAAATACAAGCTCCATTACTCCGTTATAATCCATTCTATCAATCCGCTGGTCAATCTTCCGTAAATCCAACAGATTGTGACCAGATCCTCCTGCATGCCCAGAATTCTCAATCCTCTTCCACAAATCAGTTAGCAAAGGTACTATTTGATGGCCTTCCTTGTCAATTCTCCTTTGGAGCTTGCTAATTACATTTTTGCACTGTGTGAATAAGTTGTGTGAGTTCACATACTGGCACTGAACAGGCAGATATAAAAACTACAGGAAACATAGCCCCCGTGGGTAAGTTGTGAGTTCATATTTAACAAGGAATGGAGTTGAGACTAAATTCCCATAGCCACCATGAAGTTTTAGTGAAAAACAGAACAAACCGGTAATATTTTCAGGACTACAGCCGGTGAAAAAACCTTCCAGCAGATACCTATGAACTTTATTCTGTTGTATTATACTACCATTGATCCTTTATATTACAAACAAAAAACTAATACATCAAGACCAATAAAAATAGTTTAGTTAATTCATTTTAATTAATAATGTCATAAATTGAAATTTTATTTAAAAAGCACCCATAGAATGAAATGGTTTATGTGACAGTTATATTTAATTATAGTCCTTGTAATTCAAGGGATAATATTTCCTACTAATGACCGTAACTTGATTATTATTAGGCCAATAAAGGCATCCACTTGCACGAGAAATGAGTGTGCATCTCATTGATAGACTTTAAAATAAATTAAGGGTATAAAAAGTAATTTAGCAATTAATACATTTGAAAATGGATTTATGTTTCATATAATTAGAACTAAAAAAATTTACTCATTTGTTTCTTATATAAAAGGCAGGAGGTGGTATTAATATTAATATTTTATCATAATAAAGCTTGAGAATGGATGGGCATACAACATTGAGCAGATAATGACACATACCCCTCTCTGGATGATTTCAGTCATCTTACTCCCATGAGCTGAAGATCCATTTGGATTGATAGACTTCCCCTCCCAGCTTTCTCTAGGGTGTTCACCACCATCCTCTGAAGGAGCAGATGTGCAATTCAATCGATTAGACTTGGGTGATCCATGTAATTTGGATGTATTAGCTACTTTCCTTGAAGGTAGCTTTTGCTTATTTTTTAATGATGATTCATTCTTATCATGCTTGCTGGCATTGGAGTCTCCAAATGATTTTGATTCCGGATCAATCCTCGTTTGCATTTGATATTTATAATCTGCCAAAAGAGATGATTCTCCACGTTGAAGAGATACCATCTCGCTGCCAGACTTGTCCTCGGGCCTTTCCATGGCATGTCGGGGACGAACACGAAGGCTACGTTTACGCTTAATCTTGGGTTTCTGCAAAACTTGTTCATCTTCACCCTCATCACGATCATGAATCCAACTTCCCGACTGTTGATGATCCATGTGAGAATCGCCAGATACTGCAATTTCCCCTTCCTCCAACTCATCCCCCTGACAAAAGTTATCAGAAGATATTTAATCAGAATGAAATAGAACAGAGACAGCCCCCAATAGAAGAATAAAATATTCAAAATACACAGAAAATCCATGTACCATAATTTTTGAAATGGAGCTTGGTCGGGCATCCAGTGCAGAGAGGGAACCAAATTTCTGGGAAGAAACTGATGGAGACACAGTCTGTGTCAATCTTTGACTCTCAGAGGATGATCCTGAGGAACCAGCTTCTTCAACCACATTATTATTTCTAGCACTTTCTGAAGAACGAGGAATTTCGTATCCAGCATCTAAAGTTAGACCATCTTCTTCCAATTGATTTCCATCAGCCCCACTATACCCGTCTTCTTCAAACTCACCATTTTCCCCTTCTTCTTGTGCAGAATATTCATTTCTGTCTTCAGAGCTTGCTTCAGAATATTCTCCATTTTCATCTTCCAACTCTTTATAATTAGGATGCTTTTTTCCCTTGGGCCGTCCCCTTCTCCTTTCAGAACCCACCTCACTGGATTCCATGCCAATACTACCACCCAATAAAGTGTTCTTTGATGGTCTTTTAGATAAAGCAGCAATAGCAGCATTCACTTCTAGTGTATTAGCTCGAAGCCACTCAGGCACCTCATCATGTTGCATCATCTCCCCAGGCCAATCCAGTTCTTCATCCATTTGATCAAACAATTCGAGTTCCTCTTCACTCCTAGCAATCATGCGATTTACCTCCTGAAGAGAAGGAACATCATGGACCATTTCTTGATACCTTTCTTCATCATGTAATAATGTCTCTAAAGTCAAACGTCTCTCTTCATGTGTTGTTCTTTGATCAAAACGCCCAGCATTAATAACCTCATCAGCCATATCTATCTTATATTGTTGAATATTGTTCCTTATGAGGCTCTCAACGGATCCTATATAGCGATCCTTACCCACAAGTTCATCCTCCATATCCACAGTTCCTCCACTTCTCAGTTCATCCTCCTTATGATGGCTAGAGATTTTGTCAACAACAGCTTCCATGTAGATAACTCTGACTTCTCTTTTCTGCCCAATCCGATGAGCTCTGGCCACAGCCTGTTCCTCATTTTTAGGGTTTGGGTCAGGATCATAAATGACAACTGTGTCAGCAGACTGGAGGTTAAGGCCTCTCCCAGCAGCTCGAATACTAAGCAAGAAGATGAAACAGTCTGAATCAGGGCTATTAAAGTCCATTATAGCTGATTCACGATCTTCCAAGTTAGTTGTCCCATCAATTCTTCTGTACACAAGTCTTCGCCTATTCAGATAATCTTCCAAGATGTCTAGGAGCTTTGTCATGGTACTAAACAGCAAAACTCGATGACCAGTTCTTTGAAGCTTTATGAGGATTCTATCCAGGATCCACAATTTCCCACAAGATTTTACAATTAAACTCGTAGATAATTCCTCAAGAAATGGGTAATTAAGACATGGATGATTGCAAGTTTTACGTAGCTCCATACATCTGTTATTTAAAGTCTTATACTCTTTTGCCTGGTATAGAGGATTCTTTTGAATCTTACCATTCTCACCCTCGGGATCAAGACGCAGGGTACCAGTTGATTTGACCCAGTCATAGATGGCACTCTGGACAGCTGACATCTTACAACGTAAAACTACAGAAACCTGCAATGCAGCACGGATATTAGGATTGTGCCATGAGACAGGATATAAAAGGTCAAGTAAGAGTCATAATCAAACCTTCGGTGGTAGTGAACCCTCAACATCTTCAACGCGTCGCCTGAGCATGAAAGGCTCAAGAATCTGATGAAGCCGATGGATAATGATAACTTTTTTCTCAGTCTCAAGCCAATCATCCTCTGTATTTTGAGTGGGGCCTTCCTTTTGAAATGGCTTTGAGAACCAATCATTAAAGGCTTTCTTATTGTCAAAAACCTCAGGAAGAAGTAAATTTAAAAGCGACCAAAGTTCCTTCAAATCATTCTGCAGAGAAAATTACACCATTAATAAATTTTATCATGATATGTACTGCACCATGTATATAAATAATTTCTCAACTGACAGTGCAACATCTAAATGAAGTTAACATACAGAACATGAGCCAATACAATAACATCTATTTTATCACGAATGACATGAATATTCCAGCAACAACAAAATGAACACAACTAGCATAGTTTATATATAATTGACCAAAGGTTACAGTTACAACACAAGGGACCCAATTCAAGATTTTGACTTGTAATTAAGTCAACATTCAAGCTTTAATAAAATGTCTTGACAGTATTTATCATAGTAGTTTATAACAGTAAAGTGTAAAGAAAATGAACCATAGATAAATGTTTTATTAGACCCAAACACCAGCATAGTATATCAGCCATCAGGTGGGCATGACAAGACAAGACTAGGATTTGACCTCTGTCAGATCTGAATCTAGCCATATCTGGTAATTTAGACTCCTTAAAAAGGAACCAACCAATTAAAACCATTCATATAAGAAGATATTATATAACATCTCCAGCTAGTCTAAACAAAAGTTATAATGTGTAAGTAAATGCTAGCATTCAAAATGTTAAAAGAACAATGAAAATTCTATTATTGTCACACACTACTACTAAAAGTTTAAGCTAATAGGTGAAAGCATATGAATGATTTTGATATTTTTGGCACTCCTCTTGACAATAAAAAAAAACCCTTCTGATTTGAATCATAAACAATGTCTCCAACTCTACCTTGTGCTGAAATTCAATTTTGTTTAGAAGACTGGAGGTACCAAAGAATGAACTTATGACCACTTGGTCATAAAGGATATGATACATGTTTCAAGGAGAGAGTCTTTATAAAGATAAACCTATTAGGTGAAGGCACATGGATGATTTTAATATCTCCAATAGTTACTGAGGGAAGAACAAGCAATGAAACAAAATAGAAAACTGCAAACTTCAAGAAACATGATGTTTGGTGAAACTGGGTCATAGTAGACATTATGAGTACACAGGCAACTAAAGCATATTGTATTAAAGCAAAATAGACCTGTAAAGGTGTTCCTGTTAGAAGCAGGCGTCTTTGACAACGATATCTATCAAGATCACGAGCTAGAACTGAATCTCTATCCTTCATTCTCTGTGCTTCATCAATTATGATATACTTCCAATCAATTTTTGAAAGCCTTGCACGATCATACATGATGAACTCATAAGTAGTCACAAGGACATTAAATTTCATAGCCAGAATCTCCTGAAAATAACAGAAAAAGGAAAGTCAGCATGAACATTAAATTACTCATAATAGTACAAGTCAAAAAGCTTTGCCACACTTACTTGAGAATATAATTTTGACCGGTAATCCTTCCCTCCAGCATAAAAAATGCATGATACGGATGGTAACCAAGTATACAACTCACTCTGCATGGTGAACAAAAGATTTTGGATTAGAAGGGGCACTTAATCACAAAGAAAAAATCACTGAAATTAAAGAGCTGAAAGCTCACCTTCCAGTTAACCATAACAGCATTTGGGACTATTATAAGATGAGGGCCATAGTTTCCTTTAAACTCCATCAAGTACGCAATTAAAGCCATAACCTGGACAGAGATGAAATATTTAAAATTTTCCATATGTTAACATAATCATCACAGTAACTATCATGGAAATAAAAGGAGCAATCTTACATCTCCTATGCATGATGGAACAAAATTTAATATGAAGCGTGAAATCAATTGGCTGGAAAAGAACACAATAGAATTTCTTCCCATTTTAAAGAACACAGCAAAACATAACACTAACCTGTACAGTTTTGCCAAGACCCATCTCATCCGCCAAAATTCCATTTAATTTGTTGTTATACAAAGAAAGCATCCATTGCAAACCAACCTTCAAAAATAACATGTCAAATCCTTACAATCTTACACTAAAAGACAACAGCAATTACGGACAAATTCATCAAACTTAGCAACCTACAAGCTGATAGTCTCTTAGTGTTCCAGCTCGTAACATTGATGGTTGACTTAAAACCTTCTCACTCACAGCATGAGCAAGGCTGTAATACCTAGTTTGTAGCCAATAATGGAAACCATTAGGTATCAGATGCATTATTATACAACTCAACAAAATACTAAAATCATAATTTCGATAAACAACATAAAGGCATTAAATTAAAATTACAATAAATATTAGTATTAGGCTATTATCACATTTTGTGCCAACACCTGCCTCTAAAAATACACCTGAGCTCAAGCATCATTATCTGAAAAGCACATAACTAAAAATACACGCAAAAAAGAGCAATGCTCACTTGCTCACTGATGAACTATCTCTAGGAGCATTCATCTCCATAAAACGATTTCTAATCATCACTTCCTCTCCAGCACAGGCTGCTGCTGCTCTGACTTCTTCTTCAGAAAGACCCTTTAGTCAAAACATAATGGATCAATGATTAACATATGATTACAAAGAAGTTAAAAAAGTGCATTAGAAAACGTCAAAAACAGAAATCTCAAAAATGAATTGTACAAACTAAAAAAGGCACACAAAATGACAAAAACAAAGATTGATGAAGCATGCCTGCAATCGAGCAGCAGCTGCAGCAGCTTTTGCTGCCTCCTCCACTTCCTGTTGATTCTTAGCAGCAGTTATCTTACTTCCTAATTTATGAAGATACTCTTCAGTCTGAGTTAAGAAAGTTGAAAGAACAGCATATCTCTCCGCAGCATCACCTGGCATACTAGTCTGCTGCTCCAGCAACATCTCCCTGTATCTGTCAACATCATTGTTTTTTAAGGCTTCCATCCTTTTATTTCTGTCATCATCCTTACGCTTTGAGAACTCTCTCAACATCCTTTCATGATATTTGGCCACGCCCCTATTGCGAGCAGTACGGGCATCACGAATGGTCCAATGTGTTTCAAGAAGCTTCTTGCGCCATTGGAAAATGGATTTGAGCTGTTTTTCCCTTAAAGCTCTCTGAGATGCCTGCACTTGTCTAGTAAGTTCCATTCGCTGACGTTCACACAGCCTAACAAACTTGCGATATGGCCTATCTGGCATTGCCATTATCTCTTGTTGCTGTTGATCAATCTCATCCCTTAAACGTGCCTGAAGATCTAAAAGGCGAAGCTTTTTCTCTTCAATTTGCAACCTCAACACAAGATCTGGCCTAATTCTTTTCCTCTCTAAGTTTACTGCCAGTAAACCTTCAATCTTCTTTAAATTCTCTGTTCTTCTCTTGCTAAAAACCTCCACACCTTCCTCAAACAGAAGCTCTTTCACATCATATGCCAACGACATACTGTTGCTTGCCATCATTGATGACCCAAGGGAATCATGTTTCCTAGTGAAGAAAGGAAAATCAAATAGTGGTCCATGATATTTTCTTGTGGATCCCAGATCCTTTGGCCCAGCAACAGCACTTGCCTGTGCAGGTTTATTAAGTTGCATGGCCTCAGTTACAGAAGCCTGGGGAGCAGCAACAGCTTTTCCCTTATCTAATACTAACTCATTTCTAACAGAAGTTCTGCTAATTCCATGTTCACTTTCCCGATCCGACCTAGCAGAGCATATGACAGACTGCTGCTCTTCCTTTCCAGCAGATTCCTTTGTCACAGGAGGTGTGAGTTGCATATGAACTGCTGTCACAGTGGATTTCTCATCTCTGACTAAGGCTTCCAGCTTTGAAGAGCTCTTACCATTAATCGATGGGATAGGTTGTGGATCCTTGGAATTGGACTTATTCACAATATTTCCAGCAGATTTCTCTTGATTTTGTGCTCCTGCAGAATGAGCTGACTGCTGCACTTGCGAATCAAGAGGCGGTGGAATGATGGCCCGAAGAAGTTCTTGCGGGAGCGTACCTTCTCCTTTCTATCAAAAAACAGAGAGAAAGAATATCAGTGATCACAATCTCCGTTAAATATTATGTAATACATCTTCACTAGATCTCTAAAAATAGGACATGAACACATATGGCAGGCAGGTAGACAGACAGATACACACAGAATGAAGAAGGAAGCAGAGCTTAAACCTTCAGACGCCTAAATGCTAGTATTTGTGCCTTAAGAACATGAAGCTGTGGTTTGGTAAAAGCACTATGTTGTTGAGGCATCTGAGAAGGTCCCCCTTGAGTTTTGGTGTAATTTCCTGAACCACCTTCAATTGTCAGACCTCCAGCCTGAGAAGTAGATTGGTTTAATTGCTTCATGTACTGCATTTTCCCAGGTTCTGGACCAGATGATGAAGCTCTTGCATTCAGAGGATAATCTGCACCTAAGTTCATGTTTGCAGAGGACTGATGTGGATGCAGAGAAGGCATTCCATTTCCATTTATACCAGAATGCTTCAAAGACCCTTGAGTGTCTCTGCCATGAAGACTGAATTGCTGAACTGCCATGTCACTAGAGCTACCAGCTATAGCAGCAGTGAATGATGGGCTCAAATGGCTGGGTGGAGCCGTCTGCCTGGCTTTTCCAGAACCTGACTGTGCAGACACATCACTAGATGAATTAGCATGTGCTGAACCCTCACTTGCAACTGCTGGAGAAGAAACCTGCTGGCTTGAAACAGGGACAGATGATGACTGTGCACCTAAGTTGGTATCATTTGCCTTTGGTTGTTGAGCCATCCTTGACTGCATCAGCGGAATGAGCTGAGCCATTAAGTTAGCATTTGCAGGATGTGATAGATCAATATTTCGTTCATGTGCCCATGCTTGCATAGCCCGCAATTGAGCAGACATGGCAATCTGGTTGCTCATAGAATTTGGGATGCTTTGTTGAGTTGCCAGAGCTTGCACAGGTCTTGTAATATTTCCAGGTATTAAGTTTCCCACAGATGGTCCCTGGCTTGAAGGCTTTCCTTCACTCTTCTGATCAGGTGCTAGCTGCTGCCCTTGCTCTATCCTTTTTTCCCCATGGGGAAAATGTTCAGATGAATTTCTAGATGATGACGATGCTTGGGCTTGATTCACTGCCTGCATGGACATAAGGTCTTGCATTTTCAAATTTCCTGTTCGCATTTCCTGATCCTTTGCGGATGAAGGGCCCAACATTCCCATTTTAGGTTGCTGCTGTGACTGCATTGTCAGAGCAGACTTTTGTTGTGAAGCCTGCAGTGCATATTGAAAGTATGCTGCTTGTGCAGGATTTAGCATTTGCTGCTCAATGCCTTGACCCTGGTTGGAGCCATGCTGAGCCAAGTCAACAAATTTTCGAGATTGCTGAGGCAGATGCATGGAACTAGATGAGAAATTGTTACTCCCAAATACTCCTTGAAGACCTGCTTGATATGCCAAAAATGCTTCACTCCCTTCAGGTTTTCTAAGCAGTTGCTGTTGAAATGACTGCATATGTATTTAGATAAGTCATTATTCCATAAGAAAAATAATTGGTTAAAGGTTACCAAATAAAAAGACATAATTGTCTCATAATAACATCAATACTAGATAACTGTTATAAGATCACAATGCAAATTTTATAGATATCAAAACACACACATACAGGTATACAAATACTTTTCAAAGTATAAAATATGCTACATTGGTTCTACAACCTATTTTTGACTTCACGTCTTAAAAGGTATGACAGAAATTTCATGGTGATTTATGAAGGCTACTACTAAAATAAAATACAAAGGAAAAACCAAAAAGACCTATATTAAAGTAACATGACTATAAAATCAGAAATGAGACTATAGTTGTAAGTTGAGACATTCTTAGGTACATTATCGTACATCATAAAGAAAATCAGTCATATATTAATGATCACACCATTTTGAGAAAGAAGCCAATACAATGATGATTTTTCCATTAAGACTGCATTTGATAGAAAATTACAAGTCAATAAGATACAGACGATATCAATCATTGACATCACTCATTTTTTTTACAAATAATAACAGAAGTACCAGAACAGAGAAACGGCAAGAACACTTAATACAAATTGGCAATTTACAGAAGTTGACGAAACTACACTTTATAGCAAATTGCAACTGTAGCTTGATTAGTTACAATCTACAATTAATAAATATCATTAAACTTATACCATTAATTCAGGAGATAAAAGAGAGATAATAGGGAAATTTTAAAATCCAAAGTAGTTAATCATCGTGCATAAATTTCAACAATAGCACCTGAAGAGAGTTAGAAAATCAAAAGAGGGGGGTTCATTAAACCAGAACATAAACCCCAATTGTTATAACCCCGATACTTCATTATCAATCATCATTAACCTCTAAAAGGAAATTCCCCAGAAAAGTGGGGGGGAATTTGCTATAATTCAACATTGCACATCAGTCAACAAATTTGCCTATAAGTCAAATTAGCCTATAATAACAGAAGTAATAGAACAGAGAAACAGCAAAAACAGTTGATACAAATTGACAATATGCAGAAGTTGACGAAACAACACTGGTTGGGATTTGTGTTTGCATGTGTTTTGTGGTGTTGGTTTGCAGGTTCTTTTATGGGATTTGTATCTTTTCATATGCATGTTTCTTTGTATATCCTAATAAGATGCTTTATGCCTAAGTTTCCTTGATATCCTGGTGCTTTATGCCCTTGTATTTCTTTTAGCACTTCTGATGCTCCTTATATATATGTGTGTGTGTGTATATATATTATCTTGGCTGACCAAAAAAAAAATGAAACATCACTTTTTAACAAGTTGCAACTGTAGCTTGTTTAGTTACAATCCACAATCAGTGTCCTTAAACTTATACCATTTGCTCAAAGAGATAAAGAAAGACAAAAGGAAGAATTCATAATCCAAAGCAGTAAATCACCGTGCATAAATTTTAACAATAGCACCTCAAGAGAGAGTTATAAATGCAAAAGAGGGGGGTTCATATTAAACCAGAACATAAACACCAAGTTTTATTACCCTGATGCTTTATTATTGATCATCATTAACACTTTTTAGCAAGTTGCAACTGTAGCTTGTTTAGTTAAAATTCATAATCATTCAATGTCGTATACAATTTACTCAAAAGACAAAGAAAGAGCAAAGGGAGAATTCATTATCCAAAGCTAATCAATGTGTATAAATTTCAACAATAGCACCTGCAGAGAGAGAGAGAGAGAGAGAGAGAGACAGACAGACGGGGTTCATTAAACCAAAACATAAACCTCGAGTTTTATTACATTGTCAATCATCACCAACTTCTAAAAGGAAATTCCCTATAAAAGTGCAGGGGGAAAAAACATGCAGAATAGTCAAATTTGACTATAATTCAACATCACACATCAACAGTAAATAAAGGCAAAGACAAATTAGCAAAAAAAATTAAAAGTCAACAGAAGAGTGCATGTTGTCATGGGATGAAAAGCAAGCTAGATTGGAATTGTGAAATTGACAACATTAGCAGCACAAAACTGCAGCCAATCATTTCCAGGTTCATGATTCCATCAGCTTCCATATTCTGCCTTCAATTCCTGAAAATTAATTGGTTCAAAAAAAAAAAAGGAAAAAATAAAGCACATACCCAACCAACTAACTAAACACGTTCCTTGATAACCCCAACGCAAAGTGCATTAAATGCAAATTCCACCACAACCCATTTTCCCAACAAGCATCACAGTCCCCTGTGTTCCAAAATCTGAAAATCAGAGCCACAACCAGGTACTACACAATTGCCATCACTTATCAAAAACAACACAATTCAGCATAATAATCATCACAAATTCAGCTAAACCAATCAAAACCCACACCTGCCTAGAACCTATCTGCTGCTGTTGCTGCTGCAATGACTCCAATCCCAAGTGTGATGCCGCCGATGACGAAGACGACGGCGAAGCAGCCGCTGATGACGTTGACGCCGCCCGACCCGCCGGATTCCGGCCCGGTCCACCACCGGCACCGCCCCCAGATTGCATGCAACCACCCCAGAATTCACCACCTGCAAAAAACAACCGAAATTCAGATCACTCCCACTGATCAAACCAAAAAAAGTTTCAAACTTTTAATAAAACACAAAATGCCTGAACCTCAAAATCCCTCCAAATTTCAATAAAACCCCATTTTTTCCCTCCGATCCCAACGTTCAAAAAAAATACAATTTTCTCTCTCTAGCTGCAGCTACTGACACCCACTTTCTCTCTCCAGAATCCGCAACTTTCGGGCAATTGGGGACAGATCTTTCCCTGCAGAGAACCGAACTTGACGGAATCGGTGATTCCACTATTTGGGCCACACCAGATGTCGCAATTCCCAGTCAAACCCTAAGGGAAAATATTTTTTTTTTTCAACCCTCGTTATTCTTTTCCATTTTTATAAAAATAAAAATGGTGTTTGTGTTAATTTCTTTTTCTGTTTCGTTTTTCCTCAGGTTGGTGACGAAGCTTTCTCTTTGTCTCTCTTTTTCTCCTTCTATGCTTTCTCACTGTGTGCAATTTATATGTCCAACCCACTACGGTTACATATTTACGAAAACTAAACGGTTCAGAGTGCCCTTCCTTCTCCTCAGAATTACAAGAAAACCTAAACTAGTAAAATTTTATTTTATTTTTAGTCATGATAGCTACAAACATGATATTTTAGTCTTTAGCTATGTCAAATTTTTTTTCTTTTAGTCGTTAATATATATTGTTATAGACTAAAATGAAAAAAAAAAAACATTAAGTGTTAAAAAAACAATGGAAAAATGTATAATAACTTAAATCAAATATTTTTAATTATAAGAATTAAAATATAATTTGTAATCAAATGATAATTTTTTTTATTTGTCATAATTAAATTCGGTACTAAAAAGTTTACAATAATTTTTTAAACTATAGAAATTAAAAATAATAATAACTTGTAATCAAATGATAATTTTTTTTATTTATTGTAATTAAATTCGATACTAAAAATTTTACAGTAATTTGCACATATATACAAGGAAATATCAAATTATTTAAAGAGTAATTTTTTATAAAATTATTTTACTCAATAATTCGTTGTGTGTATTAAATTTCAACAATCTAGTTATTAAATTAAAAGTTCTTAATATATAATTTAATTTTATAAATTTTTTAAAAAAATTAAAATTATTTGATTTTTATATATTTTTATAAATGTTTCATTATTTTGGAAGTAAAACATTTACAAACAATATATATCATTCATGATAATGTAACATGAATGAGTTATGACTTTAGTTCTTATAATTTTTTTTGAAAAGTTTAAATAATTAATTTTGGTCATTACTATTATATAATTCTCATTAACTATTTATGCAATCATTTCAAATTACATTCATTAGTATATGTGGTATCATGTTAGTATATGACATCTCTCAAATATTTTTTTTCCCTAAAAAATGTATTTGTCAACCTTAAAATGAATGTTAAAGATCAAAAGTAATAACTTTTTTTCGTTTTAAAGAGATAAAATCAAAGAAAAGTATTTTGTAAAGATTAAAACCAAAATTTGCTTAAATTATAAGAACCAAAAATAATTATTTCAAATTTTAGAGAAAAAATAAAAATATATATGAACAAAAACTGGTTTAAATTAGGATAGTATGTGTAAAGTTTTAAATTCGAATCTTATCACTTTCATTGTAATTTCTATAGATAAAAAATAATAATTTTGGTCATTTAATAGAAATTGAAAATATTTTAAGTCATAAAGTTATTACCCAAGCATTCAAAATTTCAAGTTGAGCAATTAGGTTTGACCTTCCGTTCAATTTCATTATGAATGAATTTAAAAATTAATTTTTCAATTTTTAGATTAAATAAAATATTACAACGTATGATATGATTGATAGATAATTTTGTCTCTTAAACATGTGATTAAATAAAATTTTAAGACTACAACAACTCTACATCAGATAACACATGATTATTTGTAAAAATATGTTCTTATTTTGTTCAATCTCCATGATATTGATGTAAAAATATTCACTAATTTTGTCGATAATTATTCCTCTTTGCAAAATTTGGCTAGAAAAATATTTATGTGATATTCAATGTTATTAACCTCATTTAATCTTTTGTTGACTAAATGTTTCAATGCAACGTTATTAAACGTTTTTCATTTAATATTGGTGCAAGTAATTTGACCAAAAATTAAACGTAGGCGACAAACTAAACGGCTTGGAAGGGGTTAACAGAACCTAGCTGTCACGCACAATATTTAACATGAACATGCTACTTATACACTCATGAGTTGGTTGTGGTGCACTATTTGAATTAATTGGTTGAAATTTATTAAAAAAAATAAAAAATTTAGTAGGACTCACATCTCTTTTAATTTTGTAATTTTCAATAAATTATAATAAATAAAAATGAGTGTTACGAGAAATGTATTAGAGAGTGTGTTGTTAGCACACCTCTTATTACAACATTGTATAATCTCGTCATATATGTAATGTGAACATATGTTTCCAACTGAGCTAATGACATTTCAATTGGAAAAAAAAATGAATCTCCTTATATTTTAATGTGTTGGGATTTTGTTGGGTTTGAATTCAAACTTTTAAAGTGTGTTTGGAAAATTTGTAAAAAATTATATTATTTCAATAATTAACTATAATATAAAAAGAATTGATAAGTTTATTAAAAAGCCATTTGAAGGTATTTAATTTCATTTGCATACAACAAAATAAATAGTTTTTATGTTGTAAATTAACTTTAAAAAAATAATCATAAACTTTGATTTTCAGCTTCATGAAAACAACTTATTTAAAATAATCCTTACATAAGTGTTTACTCTACATCATTTAATGTATGATTAGTTGCAAAATATCTTCCTTTTTTTATCATAATATTATTGATACGAAGTATTTACTAATATTGTCAATAATTATTTTTTATTGTGAAACTTGGCAAGAAAAATATTTTTTATTTAATACACCTTTTATGTGATATTCAATGTTATCAACCTCATTTAATTTTTTGTTGACTAAGTGTGTGTATACAACGTTATTAAAAACGTTATTTAACATTGGGATAAGTATTTTACCAAAAATTAAACATAAGCGACAAACTCAACCGCTTGGGAGGCACAATCTAGCTGTCACGCACATTCTCTAACAAGAGCACACTACTTGCACACTCATGAGTTGGTTGTGGGACACTATTTGAACTAAAATTGAAATATTGTTAAAGTGCATAAAATAGTTGATATCCACCTTATCGAATATTAACACAACATCTAAATACTCACAAGTTGATTATTGTGCACTATCTAGGTTGTAACTGAAACATTAGTGAGGTACATAAGATGATTGTTGTGCATCATTATCTAAACTATAATTAGAATATCAACAAGACACACTAGTTATGTGTTATGCACACTATTTGAACATTCACAAGATAGTTGTCGTATACTAGCTGAGCTGGAATCAATTAAACAAAATCAAAACTTATGAGTTGGATGTCATGTATGATATGAGTTGGAATCAATTAAACAAATTTAAACGTTTGTGAGTTGGGTATTATTTGAGTTGTATCAATTAAAAATTTATGATTTTTTTTAATTTAGTAGAGTTGTATATTGTTATTGTTAAACAATTATTATAAGATAAATGTTAACAACATACTTTAAAGTTTAAATGCACTCTTTTAATCACATTCATTCTAATTGGTTGAAATTTATTAGAAAACACAAAATTTGGTGGGACTCACACCCTATTTAGTGACGATCTCTCTTAATTTTATAGTTTTCAATAAATTTGGACAAATAAAAATGAGTGTTAGGAAGAATCTATTAGAGAGCGTTATTATTAGTACTCCTCTTATTATAATATTGCATAATCTCATTATATATAATGTCAACATATGTTTCCAAATGAGATAATGACATCTCAATTTGAAGAGAAAAAAAAATGAACCTCCTTATATGTTAGTGTGTTGAATTTTTGTGGGGTTTGAATTCAATCTTTTAAAGTGTGTTTGAAAAATTTGTGAAAATTATATTATTCCAATAATCATTATAATATATAAAAAAAATATTTTGATAAATTTACTAAAAGGCCATTTTAAGATATATAATTTCATTTAGATACAACAAAAGAAATAGTTTTATGTAATAAATTAACTTTAAAGAGAAAATAATCATAAGCTTTGATTTTCAGCTTCATGAAAACCACTTATTTTTACAAAATGCATACATAAGTGTGTACTCTAAATCATTTAATATATGATTAATTTTTAAAATATCTTCCTTTTTTTTATCATTATGTTATTGATATAAAGTATTCACTGATTTTGTTAATAATTATTTTTCATTGCGAAATTTGGCTAGAAAAATATTTTCATTTGATACATCTTTTATGTAGTATTTAATGTTATCAACCTTATTTAATTTTTTTTGTTGATAAAGTGTGTGAATGCAACATTATTAAAATGTTTTTATTTAACATTGATATAAGTATTTTACTAAAAATTAAACATTAAACATTAAACATAAGTGACAAATTCAACCGCTTGGGAGGTATTAATACAACTTAGTTGTCAAACACATTCTCTAATATGAGCACACTACTTACACACTCATGAGTTGGTTGTGACACATTATTTGAACTAAAATTTAAATATTGTCAAAGTACATAAACCAGTTATATCCACTTTGTCAAATATTAGCGCAACATTCAATTACTCACAAGTTGATTATTGTGCACTATCTGAGCTGGAATTGAAATATTAGTGAAGTACATGCGTTTTTTGTTATGCATCATTATCTAAACTATTATTAGAATATCAATAAGACACACTAGTTATATGTTATGCACATTATGTGAACACTCACAAGATAGTTGTTATGTAGTATCTGAGTTGGAATCAATTAAACAAAATCAAAACTCATGATTAGGATTTTTTTTTTTATAAGCAAAATAAATTAAGGGGAGTACAAGGGGTACCCCAACTCATGATTAGGATGTCATGCATGATATGAGTTGAAATCAATTTAAAAAATTTAAATGCTTGAGTTGGGTGATGTGTCTTATGAACTGTATCAATTAAAAATTTGTGATTTTTTTTAATTTAATTAAGTTGTATATTGTTCTTATTGAACAACACTTATTATAAGAGAATGTTGGCAACACATTTTTTTAAACACATTATTTCTAATTAGTTGAAATTTATTCAAAAACACAATATTGGGTGGGACTCACACCTTGTTTAATAACTATTTCTCTCTCTTAATTTTGTAGTTTTTAATAAATTTTAACAAATAAAAATGATGTTATGAGGAACGTGTTAGAAAGCTTGTTGTTAGAACTCCCCTTATTATAACATTGTATAATCTCGTCATATAATGTCAATATATATATGTTTCCAAATCATATAGTGATATCTCAATTAGGAAAAAAAATCTCCTTGTACTTTAATGTGTTGAGATTTTGTAAGATTTGAATTCACATTTTTAATTGTGT